GCTTTGGGAAGCACAGTCTTCAGTTGTCCTCATTAGCAGTCTCTAGTGAGTCCTAAAACTTATGCAGTCTCTTGAGCAGAAACTCTTGAATACTGATTCTGGTGTTACCTGTTTCCAGACTTCTTGACCTTGCAACCAGGAGATCAGAGGATGATGGCAACATGAGGTAGATGCAGGGCTAGTCCTGCCTGATTTGTGCTCAACCCCAGGCAGGGAGTTGTGAGGGACTGTCACCAACGCCCATCTACCATTGGTCCCCAACTTTATTTTCTTAAACCTTGGACAACCTAAGCAAGACAAAAGATCTAATATATCTATTCCCATTTTATAGAGAAAAGAGAAATCGGGGATAACAATGATTTGGAGAGGAATAAAATGACCATCAAAATGGTAATATGGCAGCAGTTATGTGGAAACAAAAGAATGGAGAAGTAAAACCAAACATTCCTTAATGCAAGAGCAGCAACTCAAGAGCAACTCAGGATAACTGTGATGATGGAAGCTGGAAATTTCAATAGTTTGCATGTGTGAGGACACTGGACAGGCTGCGCTACATGAACAAAGGCTGCAACGGGTCCCAACTTCTTCCAATACTGAATTTGAGCCCTAAGTAAACCCCAATTACCTGGTAATTTTAGATTACAAATGCCAACATTTATAATGCTTAGTAGCTCAGTTAGTGTGCGATTAGTAAGTACCACTCGATGATAAGTAAAAATGGAAGTCAATAGCATTGCTCTGAAGATGGGCTTTTTTTGCGTGAGTTTGCACCCTCTCTTGGAGGAGCCTTTTGGTCTATTGGTTTACACAGTTAAATCAAACAGGTGGATGGTTAGAATGGGAGAGGAAAAGGGGCAGCTGAAACATAAGAATGATAATCTCCATTAAGCTCCCTAGGTATTATCATGATATGCTTCCCTGCTCCTGCTCCCTGCGCTAGAGGAGGAGGAGTGATCGAAGAAATAGAAACCACCTTAGAATCTCTAATTTACCTTCCTTTCCACTCCTCTTTCTCATGTTAGGCACATTTATTATCTCATTCAATCATCCATCAAGTCATTCTTACAGTCTGGCAGGAGCCCAGCTTTGCTCAGAGGTCTCTCAATCCCATCCCCTTCATGGAGACTTTCTTGCTCACTGTGACTGATTCCTTAAGGATAAATAATAGCTACTGTTTGAGGGCTCGCTATGCATTAGGCCCTGTACTCATTATCCCCTAAAGTCTCACACAACCTTGCAAGGTAAGGAATATTCCTCTTCATTTTATAGATGAGAAAACGAGACTCTCAGAAGTTGAATACCTTGCTCAACACCCCAAGCTAGAAAGCAGAACTCAGACCCCGAACTTTCTGGAGTCAAAGCTTAAGCAGTTTTCCACGGTGTGTGTGCATTGCAGTTCAGCACGGGGCTGAGCTGTGGCTCTGACCATGGTCCTCTGCCTCCACACTGAATGAATGATCCTCTCCTCTCCACAGCTGCCCCCACGGGCTATTCCTTCCTAAAAATGAAGCTCCTGTGGTTACCTCTGCCTCATACTTGCCAAATCCTTTGCTTACGATGGGTTTAGGGCTTTGCTTTGTTTTAAACTTTGGCACTTCCTTTTCTTAATTGATTTAAAAAATTATTTTTAGGGCCAACCCCGTGGCTCACTGGGGAGAGTGCAGTGCTGGGAGCGTAGCGACGCTGGGGGCGCCGAGGCCGCAGGTTCGGATCCTATATAGGGATGGCCGGTGCACTCACTGGCTGAGCGTGGTGCGGGTGACACCACGCCAAGGGTTGCGATTCCCTTACCGGTCACAAAAAAAGAAAAAAAAATTATTTAAAAAATTTCCAACAAATTATTTAAAAATTCAAATCATATTGAAGCTTAACAAGTAAAAGTGAAAGATCTCCCTTATTGCCATCTCCTGATCCTAATCCTACTCTCCAACTATTAACTGTTTAGCTAACATTTTTTCAGACTTTTTCTGTAAGTATATACGTGTGTGTGTGTGTTTAGGATGTTTTTCTGACTTCTCAGAGTTCTGTAAACTATGTATCTTTGTTCTAAATCACTGTCTATTCCAGACTGAAGGCTGCAAAAGGGTAAAATAAGTGTACTTTTAAATTAATCCACATAGCACCTGACCAAAGAAACAACTATTCTTGATAGATTTATAGGAGTACTTGAGTTGGAGAAGAGGTAGAAGGCGGGTTCCCTCAAAAGGGATCCTGAGGTCACCAAGAGGTAAGAGCACAGGAGCCACAGGGAAGAGACCTCACAGACAGCAGGCCTGACCTGCCAGGGTGTGCACACACTCCCCAGGCTGTGAAATCACTCTTGTATGGGTTGTCTGGTGGCTAAGGACAGGGGAGAACAGGGGAGCCGGGAGATACAGGGCAGAATGTGGGCTGGGCCAAGTTTAGAATTACAAATGCCACAGAGGCGGTCTCAAGCCACACTTTAAATAGCCAGCACCGTCCCCTTCTCCCTTAAGGTAATTCTTCTCCTCCAACTGGACCTCTAGCAGCAACTTCACTAAGGTTTGGAATGTTTTCTTTCTTTTTTTTTTTTTTCTTCTTCTGTTTCTGGGTCTCAGACTGTAGGTTGGTGGGATACGTAGGACTTACAACCAAAGAACTTTTTGACTCTCTCCTAGAAAATATGTTTCTGATGTTTACTTGTGTATATGCAAAGACTATATGCTATTTTCTTGACTTTCTGAAACCTGGGTGGCTGTTGACTTAAGGGAAAATATGATTTGGAGAAAGAGAACCCTAGATTGAGAAGAAAGACATTTGGGTTTAATTCCAAGAAAACGAGGGCTTTCTTCTCTGCGAAATGAAACAATGATCAGGTCTTTAGTAGGATTGAAAGAAAATAAAAATGTGAGTGACTGTTATTCTAAGTGCATATATATATCCTCATTTAATCCTTATAACTGAGTCTATCCTGTCATTGCCACATTTACAGATGAGCAAACTAAGGCTCCGTTACTCATTAAGTTCTCTGAAGTTAGGCAGTGGTATGAGAAAAACTGAGGTTTGAACCCAGGCTTGTCTGACTCTACGGCTCATGTCCTTTCGACTGCAACATGTTACCTCTGAGAAGCGACTGTCATGAGGCTAAGGGATCCGGGAGAGGGTAACTGTTTCTCTCACTGTGTGAGGGGGTGAAGAAGTGAAAGGAGGTGGCTCTCCATCACTGGAATCATCAGATGATAAGGGGAGGCCCAGCACCAGCATAAGACCATAAACAGCAATCTTAAAAGGACTGAGGAACCAGTCCTTGACTTGTTGGTTGACTTGTTGACTTGAACCAGTCCTTGGTTTGGACCAGTTGCTTGAGTTTCTCCTTCTTAGCCCACAAACAATCTTTGGAGCCCCCTCCCTAACTTATCAAATAAACAGAGGTGCCTACTGTTACCTGACTTTTTTTTTTTTTGGTGCTTGGCTGGTACATTTCTCTCTAACTTTGTGGGTCCCTCAGGTAGCTCAGCTGGGAGGAGGCAGAACCAAAAGAGAGTCTGTGGCCAGATGGGTCTCCTGCTGAGAAAATTCTGTTAATGTGAACTTTTCTGGAGGCTTAAAAAACATTCGCCTGACCACTTCTCCAGAAAAGGGGCCACTGTGTAAAATCAGGAGATAGTCATTAGAATATGCTTATATTAGACATGCTGATAAACCTAGGTAGCCAATGAAATTGAAGGGACCTAACTGAAAGATCTGGGACATAGCAGGCTTAGGTCCTGGCTGTGCAATTTACTGGGTATATGTTCACAGTCATGTTATTTCACTGCTCTGAGCTGCAGCTTCCTTATTTATAAAGTAGAGGTAATAACGTTGGCATCCTCAGGGTTGTTGTGAGAATTAAATCAACGTAGGTAAAGTGCCTAGTCTATAGTAGTTGCTTACTAAATGTGAGTCACATCCAGTCTTATCCTCAATCCCAACAGCAGTCTAGAAAAGGGCATTTCAGTTAGTGAAGGGTTTAAAACTGAAGCTCTTTTTGCTGTCTTCTCTACTATAGCAGATTCCTACATTTGCCATCACCAAAAAAGAAAATAAGCCCATAGTTCATCCTCCTCTTACATTATTTCAGAGAGAGAGGGAGAGAAATACCCAGACAGATCAGCTCACCTCATTCAAGGTTCCTGGTCCCACACGACCTCTCTCATTCCCTTGGAAGAATTTTTTTTTTTAAACTGGCTTTTATTTTCATGTTACAGAAACAAACATGTTTTTGATGAGAATGTAGAAAATATAGATAAGGGAAATATTCCTATAATCCACCTGCTGAAAGAGAAACATTTTGGTGGATATACTAGTCTTTCAGTGCATATGAGTGCACGATCATATTGTGTGTACTGTTTTCACTTCATCTATTGTGAACACCCTTTCATTTCAGAAGTACTTTCTTCTGTAACACAGTTTTTAATGGTTATATAGTAGCCCATTGTATGAATGTGCCACAATTTATTAACATATCTACCATTTTTGGACATTTATGTACTCTCTAATTGTTTGCCATTATAAACAGTGAACATCCTTAATGCCAAGTCTTTTACCCATGGTCACGATTATTTCCTTAGGGTAAATTCTTGCAAGGGAAACTGGTGGCTTTGAGGTTCTGTAAAATCCCATCCTTTCAATGGCCCCCAGCATGCAGAGTAAAGAAACTGAAGCACATGCTAAGACAAGCAAGACCCAGGGGCTATGTGAATTCTTCCATGATTACAAGCCCCACCCCAGGAGAACCTGTGTAGTGGAAGCAAAGTCTGTCCTTTAGTATCAATGCTTTCTTCCTGAAACAGGAAAGGGCTATATGTTTTCAGTAGCTGTTACCCAGCCTCTACCAATAAAAGATGCTAGGGAGGACACGGCTCTACATATAAAGGAGCAGGAATTCACTTCCAGTACATTCATTCTCTTGGGAATTTGCTGGTGAAGGGATGAGGAGGAGGGGTTTCCTTCTGGAGTTTCCACCAGTAACAGAGCATCCCACTTGTTTTCCAGGTGGGATGGATAGCAGGGTCTCAGGCACAACCAGTAATGGAGAGACAAAACCAGTGTGTCCAGTCATGGAAAAGACGGAGGAAGATGGCACACTGGAGCGGGAGCACTGGAACAACAAGATGGAATTCGTGTTGTCAGTGGCTGGGGAGATCATTGGCTTAGGCAATGTCTGGAGGTTTCCTTATCTGTGCTACAAGAACGGGGGAGGTGAGAGCCACCACGCCACCACGCCACTCCACCCACCCTGTAGTGAGGATGCTTCTGTCTCCTGCACTTATCGCCCCTCTGGGGAGTCCCATAGATGCACAGAATGGTGGCATTGGAATGACCCTTGGAGGTCATTAAGGACACTCTGCAGGAGCCTGAGACCTAGAAAGATTATGTCACTTTCTTTTTACTATAGCACGGCATCATAGAAATATGAGTATAGGCTTGGAACCAGATGGGTCAGGGTTTGGATTGTGGCTCTACTATTTATTCTCTGTGTGATCTTGGGCAAGTTAATTAAGTTCTCAGAGCCTCAACTGCTGCTCCTTTAAATTGAGATAGTAATGCCTACCCTTCAAGGTTTTTGTAAGGATTAGAGATAATGTGTATAAATTACTTAATAAACAGTAGCTGTTTGATGATGATGTTAATACCAAACTGTTCTGTGTCTTCTGATTCCTCAGCCTTGGTCTTGTGTCTTCCCCCTACTCTGCTGGTACCTCGACATTCCCTAAGCCATCCATCACCCACTCCCCACCAGTACTGTAACCAGTGGCTCTTCCTTTAGAAATTCCCTACTATGGATGTGTGTGGGCGGGGGCAGGGGAGAGCATTAGCTCTGGCTCTTCGCTGTCTCATCATTGGCGTCTCATTCCCTCCATTACAGCTCCCCTGGAGTAACTCCGCTATCCCCACAGCAGCAGTGGTAATTTTACTACTGTTAACCCACTTTCAGGGAACCCACTTTTCTGTGGGAATCCCCAGAGGCATTGCCCAAGTACTGAAGGGTTCCGACTGACCAGTGGGTTAGGAAGATTTCCTTGTTGATAGGTGAAGCTTACAGGGGTTGGGGCTCCCAGAGGTGGTTTTGTAGTGAGGCTGTGGCCTGGGCTGGAGGAATGAAGAGTGCAGAGTTAGGTCACCAGGGAAATGCTGAGAGGGGTGGCAATTTCATGGGCTACAAGGGTTGGAGGGTCCTGTAAAGCAACACCTACTCTTTTGCAGGGGACTAGGAGCCTCCAAAGCTATAAAGCTTAAGTCTCACAGTGGTTTTGGAGAAAGAGACAGCATAAAACAGAGAGTGGAAGTGGGAGGCAGGAGGGGTTGTGGAACATAAGAGAGATGCTCTGGGCACATTCAGTCTTGTCCAAGGGTTGTGGCGATAGGAGACTGGCCCTGGGGCTGGAAGTTAACTTGTAGTTTTCCAGAGGATTGATTTGTCCATTCTTCGTAGGAATTTCTGGCCAGTGGCTTGAAATCACAAGACTTTGCTCAGTCTGCATTGTGAGGGAAGAGGGGAGGTCCTCCCACTTGTTGCCTGGCCCTGGACACATGCTTGTTTAGGAATTTAGACCTGAGTACCCTCCTTTCAGAGAATTAGGTGGAGGGTCGGGGCTAGCCCAGGGAGTAAATAGCAGTCTGGGAGATTAAGCTGGACATTGGGACTCTGTATCTGGAACCTAGAAACCAGCTTAGCTCCTCACGTGGCAGAAAGATTAGGAGGTGAGCAGCTTTCCCCAAGCCTCTTTGGAATTGGGTAAAGGTTGTATTGAGAATTAGCAGGAATGGCACGAAGAGTTGGGAGAGAGCAAATTATAGGTCTGTTGCAAAACCATTGGCCTGAAGAAAGGGAGGGAGAGGGGAGCAGTGATCGGAGCAGCTGGGGGTTGTAGGGCTCACCCCGTTTCATTTGTCTGGCGATGTGTGGGTCTGAGCTCTGCTCCAGGGCTTCGTGGTTAAGTTTGTGCAGGCCTGGGAATGTGCTGACTATGTCTTGCTGTGGAAATGCAGGTCCAGGAAGAAAAGTACCGACAACCCTTGGTTTTTCACAGGGGTGCTTGTGTGGGGAAGTGGGGGCAGTAGGGTAGATGCTGTGGCTTCTTCCTCCCTGCATAGACCTGCCTTCCGGCATGCTGATTCCAACTGAGAGCTGAGCCATGCTGAGGGCTCCTGAGATCCAGTCAGGTTCTCTTTATTTAACTCTTATACCACCACCCACAGTTCCTTCCCTTGATCAAGCACAGGGCCTTAGCACTCTTCTCTGTTCACTGATGGATGAGAGCAGCTGGGGGGTGGGGGGTGGGTAGCGTTCTAAGGGCCTATGGAGCTACAGGGCTGATGCCCAGGTTCACCCTGAAGGGTGTGAGTCACCCGGGGCCACTGGGTGAATTCATGGAAAGGCTCCTTTGCCAAGGTAAGGGGGTCCGATCAAGGATAAGTATGGTCATTAGAGGAACCTAGACTTGCCTATTTTCCTGTTTTACGATGTTCCCAGCAGATTAACCTTTCTGCCATCAGTTAATTCCCCTCTCCTCCCAAGCAAAACAAGCTCCTACAGAGAACGGGCCCTAAGATGTCATCGTGTCATCTTCCTGTCTGTTTGCCAAAGAAGAGAGACTGGTGCCTCTTTCTGAGAGGACCCTTTGCTGCTGATATGGGAAGAAAGGTGGGGAGAACGGAGAACATTTCGACGGGTTTGACTCTTTTCCTCCTGGTTTATTGATTGGGGCTTGGGCTCCCAGGGATGAACAGAATATTCTGAGCAAGTCCTGGAGAAGGATGCTGGGATGCCCTAGGGTGCACGATGCTCAGGCAATGTACCCTACAGCCTGCTTCTGGGCCCTTTCTCTAACTTCACCGCTTCAGCCACTTTTGTGCTGGGGGTTGGAGGGAGGATAAGCCAGGGACTTTATTATCAGAAGTATTTGTTCAGTGGGAAGGTCAGGGATGAAAAAGTCCCCAAAGCATAATTTTAATTCCAAACAAAAATATAGGTGTCATCTTCTTTGGTTTCTTCCAGCTTTAATATTTGGAAGATCTAATTTGAAGTGAGTTCTAGATCAGGAAAGGGGCTGAGGCAAGAACGTGATAGAAGAACAGGTAAACAGTTGACAATTGTAGTTGAAAACTGGGGAAGCTAAGAAAGTGGTATAATGAAGCCCATTTAAAATCAGAAGCAACAGGTGGGCCTTTGACGGAAATGGTTGGGAGGGAGTCGACCTCAATCATCTCCTGGGCAAACACTCTCCCCGCTGTCCAGGACCTGTGGCCGATCTACCCCCCAGCACCTGCCTCATCCTAGGGTTTTCTAGCATCTCAGTCGGTTTCCTCAGCATAGAGCCAATCAAACCCTGACCCTGACTCTGTTGTTCAACACAAGTATTTACTGAGCACCTAGCGTATGCCAGCAATTGTTCTAGGAGGTTGAGATATCTCTACAGACAAAACAGACCAATTCCCTATCCTTGTGGGGAGACAGACAATAAACAATAAACATTGTAAATAAAGAAATTATACAGTACATCAGAAGTTAATGAGTGCCGTGGAAAAAAAAGAACAAGTACAGCTGAGTAAAGGGGATCAGGAGTGTGGGTGTGGTTGGTTGCAATTTTTAAACACGTGGTCAGGGTGGGCTTCCTTGAGAACATTTGAGCAAAGTCTTGCCAGGAGTGCGAGTTGGCCATGTAGATATTATGGGTGAAAGTGCTCCAGGCAGAGGAAACAGGTTTAATAATCCTAAAGCAAGAGTCTGATTGGCTTGTTTGAGGAGCTACAAGGAGGCCAGTGAGCCTGCAGCAGGGTGCGTAAACAATGCGAGGTCAGAGAAGTAAATGGGCAGGGCAGGTGGAGGAGGGAGCAGATCAGGTAGGGAACTCTTGGCCATTGTAAGACTTCGGCTTTTACTCTAGTGATATGCAGAGTCAGGGCAGTGTTTTGAGCAGGAGCAGCATGATCTTACACTATAAAATAATCTCTCTGGCTGCTGTGTTGAGAACTGATTATAGAGGAGTAAAGGCAGAAGCAGACCAGTTACAAGGCTAAAAACCTTAGTCATCCTCGATCCCCTTCTTTCTCTCATAACTTTGGCTCTACCCAAACACCCAGATCCTGGATGCTTCAGAACCTGGGCCTTCAGCTACGCTCTCTCCAGCTCCCTTGGACCCTGGCTCCTGGTAGACTGAGTTCCTCAGCACACTGAATACCTGGGACTGGAATCTCATCACCTCCACTGCCACCTTCCTATCTAAGCAATTCAAGATTTTTAACCTGAGCAACTGGAAGGAAGGAGTTGCCATTTACTGAGATGTGGAAGGCTGTGAAAGGAACAGGTTTTGAGAGTAAAGTAAGGAGCTGAGTTTTGGGAATGCTGAGTTGAGATATCTACTAGATATCCAAGTGGAGATGTCAACTAGGCAGTAGAATATATGAATGTGAAGCTTGTGAGAGAGATCTGACTGGAGATATAAATTTGGGCATCATTAGCATTTTGATGGTATAAGAAAAGAGAACTGGGATCTGGGAGAAACCAGTAAAGGAGACAGAGAAGGAAAAACCAGTAAAGTAGGATGAAAACCAAGAGAATGAAGTGTTTTGGAAAGCCAAGTAAAGAAATTATATTGGGGAGGAGGAAGAGATTACATCAAATGCTGCAGATAGGTTACAAAAATGAGGAATGGGAGTTGATCTAGCAGCATGGATCTAGCAGCCATGGAAGTCAATGAGAAGAGCTGCTACAGTGGAGAGCTAGGTGTGGGGATGGGGAGAGAATTGGAAACGGTAAATATGGGTTATTGGGGTAAAACTCAGGAGTGGGTGAAGAGCATCTCTCTTTATTTTCCCTCCTGGGTGGAAGTTAGCCAATGTAAGTGCTGCACAGTAGCAACAGTGTGCCCTGGGTGTCCAGCAGTAGTGCAGATGGGTCGCTTGAAGAGCTCCTCTTGGCAAGTATGAACTGTGTCCCTTATGGTAGGCTGCCCAGGTGCTCAAAGACACAGAGGAGGAGGGGAGCAGAGGTGACCAAGGACCCACTGCAGTTAAACATTGGCTTGATTTATTGGGAAAGAGCAGGCAGCACAAATGTGGGGTGGGGCTTGAGCTGGGCTGATAACTCTTTCTTTTTGGAATGTTTGGGACTCTCAGCAGTGACTGTTCATATCAGCTACTGGGTTCTCTCTTTCCTAATTTTTCTCTTCTGCCCAATGAGTCTTGGATTGATTTAT